CTCCTCAAACAGTGGACGGATTCGCAAGGACATCAAAGGAGGCGGTGAATACCCTGTGCCTGCAATATACTGCAACAGTACATTGCAATCGCTGGCCATCTAACCCTCTGACAAGGGTTGTCTCACATCCAAATGGCACTCGCACTTGCTTCCCAACAGAAGCTGTATTAGAAAACCTATCGACTATGCATAAGCGGAGCTCTGCTGGGGTGATAACATGCATCCGAAGTCATTTGCGGCCGTGGCCAGAGAGCTTACTTGAGTCTTTGCTCAGTCATGGGTTACACCATGGATCTGACTACTGTTTCGCATTCACTCGCTCCTGCCTCCTTCGCTTCTCATCAAGTTTAATCACGAGGACTAATCATTTTTCTGTTAATAATCTTTGTGTCCATCGACTTGACCCGGCTACCAGTTTCCTTGCTGCCCGTGGTGTCCTGTTGGAGGCTATTCCTCTACCCCGATCTTCATTCCGACTGGTAGCCCTCAATGTCCGGATGCTTATGCAAATTGGCAAACAGACCAGCCTTGCACGTACTCTGAGTTCCCTCGCCATTGATAGCTGCTGCCTATCCGAAACGCGATTACCGGACCCAAGTGCTGTGTTCAAGTTGAGGTCTCCGACCAACCAGAAAGCCACGTACCACTCACGTTTATCTGGTGACGCGGAAGCTGCTTTCACTGGCTTGGCTGGTGTTGGCGTGAAGGTAAGCAATATAGCCGAGTCTGCACTCCCTAATTGGATCCCAGTTAACAGCCGACTATGTGTAGTTCACCTCCAAGGTTCACGCAGTATTAACAGACATCTCGCCAAAAGGCACAATCTGTTTGTACCTTCTGCTTACGCGTCAACACATTATAGCTCTGAACTAAACAAGCTTCATCAGCTATTACACAAAGCCGCCAAGTTGAGGTCATTTTTCTCGCTGGAGACTTCAGCGTACACGTGGGTCGGCTGTTATCACGTGTATATCACTTGGGTGGTCATTACGCACTGAAGAAGAATCGTGCAGATAACGGAAGCAGGCTTCTCAATTTGTGCGAAGACAACAGCCTGTTTCTCGCAAGCACAAACTTCAGATAATCTAGGAGACGCTCTGCCACTTGGCGTTATCCTTCACCGTCGCAGACTTGGATCCAAATAGACCACATTGCAATCAGTTTCAGGTAGCGTTGCAGCACACAAGACTGTGGATCGTTTTGATCTACGTACCTCGATTCGGATCAAGTATTGGTCTTGGTCAACCTTTACATGCGATTCGGAGGAAACAAGAAAGGAGACTTTGTATACTTGATACAAACAAACTAGCTGGTCAGTCGACTTAGCTAGGCTATCAGATATCACTGGCAAGCACACTAGCCTCTGTTTCTCCCACCGACATTTAATACTACGGGAAGTTCTTGCAGCAAGCAATGCTAACTTAAGGTTAATCGGTCTGTCATCACCCGTTAAAGGGTTAGATATCGGCGCGCTCTCTGACACCATTCGACTGGCACGGGACTCCCTTAGTAAACCCAGACCAGAATGAGGTTCACCGTATTATCAGCAGACAACTCAAACGAAGCCTTCGCAACGATCGGAAGTTTGATGGTCTCAACCTGCCTTGGAGATAGAGGCATCCGCCCTCACTGAAAACACCCGCAAGCTGTTTCAGCTCATTTGGACCAGTGTATACAGGATGTCTGGTATCAGCGAGATCTTCTGTGTGGTGGACGGATAAAAAATCAAGAATTTACGGAGACGCATATATCTATTGGCTGAGCACTTCCAGTCCAAGTTCAATTGTTGCTTGCCATCCACCTTTGCAGTTGGTACACCCAGTCGCATGCCATACGTAGCATCACTTGAACCACAAACCGAAGCGGAGATTTATCTTGAGATTCATCACTTGTAGTGCTTTTAGGTGACCGGCTCAGATGAACTTCCCCTAGAGTTGTTCAACTACGACTGTGCAGCAGTTGTCAACCACCTAACGTCCTTGTTTCTGAAGATCTGGCAGGAAGAATGGCTTCCCTGTGCTGGGGGAGTCAACCTCTCTTCCAATCTTCAATATAGGTTCTCACACTTCGTGTGTCAATTACAAGGACATTAGTTTGATATCTGTTACTTCCAGGCTAGTAGCATCAATCATACTCCGCAGGTTATCCTCAACTTGTGAGTCACTACCGGCAGAGCAGGCTGGGTTTAGTCCCGGTCGAAAGCGTTTGCATCAAATTTCCAGGCCTCGTCTACTCCTGCAGCATCGTCAGCTCTACCGCAGACCCACCGTTGTCACTTTCCTGGATATTTGGGCTGCCTTTGAGTTGCCAGATCGACTTGCTTTATGGAACTGTCTGTTAAAGAATGGAGTTCCGGAAAAGTACGTCACTATACGTCGCGCGTTATACCTCCACACTTCAGGCCGAGTGAGAATCTATGGCACGCTTTTCCCACTCTTCCATGTCATCAGTGACGTGACAACGATACTCTACGCCACCGTTTCAACTGAACTTTGCGTTCGATGATATCCTTTTGAGAGCTTTAGAGGGCCTGCAGAGCTTCGGTATCGAGCTTCCATGTAATCCCTCGACCGACTCAGACTACACTGATGGTAACGTCTTACAATAAAATAAGCCGTCAAATGTACGCCGTAATGGCGCTTCGCTGCCATGCGACCACCATCAGTTGAGCGTGGGCTGAATATACGGCGAGGACGCCCACCCCTATGCAGATTCGAACCGGTGACCTTATGGTGGAAAATCGGGCTTGCGGACCACTCGGTCACCGGCCGACATGTTATGACCTTGTTCGATGACGACCCCTATGGGATGCAATGGATTATTGATCGATTGGTGATTTAAGCATCTAAGTTTGGCATGTGTGTCGCCCCCTCCAAGTGCAAGGTTCTTTTACAGGATTGATAGGCACCCCTACCCCAATTCACCATCGAAGGCACACAGGTCGAACACGTAGATAGTTTTATCTACGTATGGAGCTGTGCCTATGTCGATGGCACTATCGAAGTAGAGGTATCCCTTCGAATCGCTAAAGCCCAATCAGCGTTAGCCAAGTTAAGACATTTCTGGCGCCGTCGCGACATTTCACTCTTGCCAAAAGGCAGGGTTTACAAAGCCTGTGTAGGAGCGATATTGCTTTACGAATACAAATCCTGGCCAATCCGTGTGGAAGACATGCGTAATCTTCCGGCCTTCGACATTATCTGTTTACGAAGGATTGCCCGCGTGCGTTGGTAACACCGAGTGTGTCTTAGGTAAGACGGATGTTCCGCCTTGTAATGTCAGCCGGCTGCATCAATTGAGATGGTCCGGCCAAGTTCTGCGCATGCCTAACGAGCGCTTACCACGCTGCACTCCGTTTGCGTACGCAGGGTTACTTTAGAAAAGGCCGCGTAGACGTCAACCTTCCACCTGGCGGCAGTACATGAAATAGATGACAGTTTGCCTGGCCATCGCTAGCCTGTATGACTCCCCGACTGGGGACCCAGAGATGAATAATGCCAATGGTTCACAAAGCTGAAGGCAATGGCGCAACCCCAGTCTCAGTGGAAGCAGTGCGCACAAGTCTGCCTGATCCTACGTTTACAAACTCACTAACAGAAACCGAAGAAAAGTTTTTAAAAAATGGCATGTGTACAACGACAGAATTATTGTTTGGAACAATTAGGAGTATTGGTGGTTTTGTGAGTATGTAAGTTTTGTAGCAAGTAGAAGCCATGATTAAACATTGCACAATAAGCTGCCTCGACGGGGAATCGAACCCCGGACATACGGATTACCGCTCCGTAATTTGGATAAAGCCATAAGACGTCGAACACTGACAGATGTCAGCATTTCGCGTTGTCCCCTCAGTGCCAACACAATAACATGAAAATATATAAGACGACAGGTAAGATGAGACCGGAACAAATTAAAACACTGCGCCACACGAGACGCATTCTCGCCTAATGGCAATCCTGGATGGCTTATCGTTGTGTTGCAAATTTACTCCTGATCTTACAAAAGAGAAATGGAACGTCCGGTGACAGAATTCACTAGTTAATAACCGGGAGGAACCTTCTTATCTTGACCCCAATACGTACGTTTTAAACCTATCAAATGTTCCCCTTGATGCCTTACAACTGGAAGCATTATCGCTCGGAATGGATTCCAAAGTCCCACCTGGTAAGCTAAACCGCTTGTTCATAGAGGCACAAATTGAAAACTTTTATGACCACTTAGCAGGATTACAGGCGTCTAGTCCTGCTATTGCCCATGAGGTCACATTGACGCCAGTACATGAAAAGTGTTTGCTTACAAGCCGTCACCTCGTGCACTACGAGAGCTGAGGACAAAGGGGTGATTCTAAATGACCCATTACCCATGGATAAACACAAGTGTCTGTATGAGGTTTCACTAGTAGTTAAATCCCAGACACCGTTCCAGGTTTTTCACATCCTATATGTGTACAACAGAAGGGGACACGATTTTTACCAACATCGCATTTGCCGTCATTTCTGGTGGATTTACCTTGGATTTACAGTGTGTACTACGTATACTTCAGCGAGTCACCGGTGTAAAGCCAATTTCCATGACAGCTTTTCTGTTTTGTGGTTTCACTATGACCATCCTACGGGACCTGTAAAGCATTAGCCGCTTTACCCGTATAAAACCTTTGTTCTATTGTAAGGAAACATCAAAGTTAGTGTACCGCACTAAGCAGTTTATTCGTCCTATTGGGACTCGACGTTACTGTGCATTCCTCGGGTCCACCAGGTGTCGACGAGTGACTTCTCGACCCCAGTGGCTTATATCACTAGACGGCGAGTAACGCCAGTAAACCGTCATGGATTCCAAGCCAACTAGAATACAACATTGTCAAGGGATGTGCATTAGTGACCAGTTTCCACAGATTCAATCGCCGATTTGTGATTCTCATGGTATGTGGAAGCAAATCTGACTTGGAATCTACTACGACAAACCAGCAGTAAACTTTGTAACGCAAACCAATGCGCTCAACTTACTTTCAAATTGAATCCAATGTATTGTGAGCGACAGATTTGGAAGAATGTCGAATATTGCAACTTCGTCAGGCCAGAATGCCACAGTCGAGCTGAAGTGACGACGTACCGTAGCGCATCCTGATGGTGGAAAAGTTGAGTTCAAGATAAGCAAGAAATTTGTGAAATTCGCCACAGAAATAGTGGTACTTACGTAACCTGCTTATCGCCTCTATATCTTTTGAGACCGGGACCATACTGCAGGAGGAAGTGCTTTTAAAGGAATTGCCACTCTGAAAACGGGAGAGACTAACAAACAAGCCAAGCACTTAGGTGTTACGTTTAGATACTATAAACTCAGCATCTGTGATCCCTGCCCACGAATTCATTTTCCAATGTGAGCTCTTCCGGCTATAATTTACCTTTTGTATTCGGGACTGCAACGCAGGAAGATGGACAGCCATATCACAGTTTCACTTGTCAAACTTTTCAGTGACGGAGGCGAGCTCCTTTCTGATATGCGATGACTTCAGTCACTTCGAAAGCAAGCGCCATTTGAGCGATGTGGGTTACAAATGCAAGCACGAAAATCTATTTTGATGGATGCATCACTTGGGCTTCTGCCGGCTCGGCCGGTGGTCGAATGGTTTGCGCGTCAGATTTGCAATCATAAGTTCACCGGTTCGAATCCGCTTACGAGCGGGCGTCCTCGCGGTATACTCAGCCCACGCGCGACTGGTGGTGGTCGCGTGGCAGTGAAGCGCCGTTAGAGCATACAGCTGGCGGTTGACTTTGGCTGGCTTGCCGAACAACCTTCTCGTGGTTCCAGCTGGGTGGTTCGGGATTTTCCCGTTTCAGCAAATGACTCGGCGACAGTGTTCCAGGACGTGGTGGGTTTTTGCCTGGCAAATGTTCTCCCTATAAAAAGCCACATATGCCCGTTTAACAACACTGTGACGTGGCGGACGTGACTCGCCACTTGCTTCCTCCTGGCGAGGCGTTGTATTCCAGCCACGTTATGCTGTAATTCTGGCGAGCATTGGGCTCCTGTTTGACAAAGGAACAAACGAAAGGCGTATGAACCGAGCAATCAGTCAATGGCTCCCAATGGGCGCGATTCCCTGAATTAGCTCCGCTGCCTTGCGGGCTGGCTATTCAGCCAAAGGCTTGGAGTGGTGTCCCCTAAGTCGACACCCTACTTCGGCTTGGGCAACCGGGTAGTAACTCGCCCTCTGACGGAACCATGGACTCCGATGTGTTGTGTTGTATTTTCTTTTACTATTTCTGTACCTTCTTTTGAATTCCATGATTTCTGATGGCTCCATATCTATTCATAGACGGTTGAAGAAAGATATATGCTACCGGCTCCTTGCAAACCCCAAACTCTTGGTCGCCTGATATTAAACATTTCTACCTTAGCACAAAGCCTGTATGAACTAGGAACCTTGTGTTTGTTTGAAACATTGCGTTCTCTTTATCATTCTAAACAATAGGCTGAGAAGACTGGCGTTGTAAGATGATATCATTTTGTGCTCTCTGATCACATGCAATCGAGAAATATACTACACGATCACTGAGGGAAAGGATCAGTAGATTGACTGCGGACGAAAAGAGGAAGTAGACACGACAGAATCCGAAGTGATGAAACAAATTTCAAGGTTCCCGCGGAAGCCTCAGTGTGGCTGTCAACTGTTGCTATTGAGGTAATTTTATACTCGAACCAACTCAAATGTCCGGTGTCCGTACGACACCGCTCAATTCCATTCAATGTCGACACGGCACGCTAGCGGCCACAGTGCTGCCGATACCTCGAAGGCTAAGTGCAAGGCGCCGAACCTGCATACAATGCGGACGCCTGAGGCCCACTACAATTGTCATCCGCTTTTAGGAACCATAACATCGTCTTTGATCCCATCGCTTTCCGCAGTGCTTGACAATCGATTGCTGTTCATTGCCCGACGGCTGCCGTTTCTCAGATAATCAAACCTTTTAAAAAGCTTTGACAAAACGCTTTTTTTCAACCCACTGTCTAGGAGAGTTGTCTACCCTAATATTTTCCAATGATCTAAAAATATGACGTCTTATCGCCAACTCAACGAGCTCTTTCGTCACAGAAGTAGCACGGACACTGCAGTACTGGCTGGGGATCTGAACACTCAAGTTGACAAGTTGTCCATTGATGAACTGCGTCTGGATGGTCCAAACGGCGCCGGCTCCCGCAATGATCACGTTGAACAGTTGCTCCATTTGTGTAAAGATGCTCGTAAATTTCTTGCTAACACTAACTTCCGACACAGCACCATCATCATCACCATCATCATCATCATCATCAACAACAACAACAGTGCATCAGCCATTTGAACTGATGCTTCGCTGCCATACAACCATGATGACCTAAAGAATAAAGAATAATAAGTGGGAGGAAAGTGTAACTTATCTGAACAGGTGAATGCCCTAAGCAGACATTCAGGATTAGGGCGTACACACATTGTGTAGACAACGTACCGTCACAAACAGCTGGTTATCATGCAAAGACATGACAGCATCAGCGAGACAGCTTCCTTGCGCTTTTCACTGCCCCGCGGCATGATCAGCCATTACCTCGCGGACAAGTAAGCACCGACCACACCTTAAACAGGCAGTCCGACTAGGAGACGGCAGCAAACGCGCCACTAGTGCCGACTGAGTGCCATGTCCCGTAGTCTCGAGCCAAGAACAAGGCAGATTACGAGGACTCCAGTCCGGAAGGCGAGACGGACCGACGGTACCCAGTTTGTTCGTCAGCGCCTTCATTTCCCGCTGCCAAGTCAACTTTTGTCCACCTCGATCCTTGTGCCCTTATTTGACGCGCTATTTGCCGTGCGGCCGAAGTTTAACTCGGCTCGCTCTTTGCCCTCTGTGGCCACTCTAATTCTCCCCACACAATGTTGTGTGCGCGCTCGCTCGAACCAGTTCCACTAGCTCTATTCAGTGCTTCTAAACGCTTGGAACTAACCTGTGTGGAGTATACTCTTGCTCCAGTTCCCAATTTTCGGCATATTCTGTACGGAGTTCTGCGTGCCATCATTCGATTTGGCTCCGCGAGCTCCTCCTACCACTGTTCATCTATTGGATCTATCATTCACGGATCACCAACAAACTGTGCTCTTGGAACTTCGAAGTCAACCGTATTTGAAGCTTATCGGATGTTTTATTTCTCCTCTCATCACATAAGAACTCATGTGGTCTTATTTTAAAGATCTTTTTGAGAGTCACCCGATCAGCTTACTATCATTCCTTCAAGTCGTTCTACAAAGCGGTAGTCGTCAATTTGATCCGTCCTTGGAACTGCCACTGTCGTCATTAGACAGTATTTTCCAAATCACCTTGCTTTTCCTCAGTCCTACGTCCACCACGGCCTACCCTCTACCGTCTGGATCGATAGCACGCACATCCACCCCAAAGAACGCGTGATTCATCTGGCCTCGACACGCCTGGACCTGCTGACCTCGAACCAGCGCCGATCGCCACGCAAAGGTGCGTCAGTATCTCCATCCCATCCCTACCCCTACTGAGAACATGTCTCGTATGAAGAGCAAATGCGAATCATGTGCCAAAGTCGTAAAAAGTGGTCTGGTTTGTACTATGTGTTTGAAAACATACCACACTACCTGCCTTGGGAAGGCGTTCACGAAAGCCAACACCGCAGACGCGTTTTGGTTCTGCCAAGTATGCGAGTCTATTCCATTTGTTAGCTGTCTATCTGTGCTACTGAAGAGGTGTGAAAGACTAACCGAAGCAGTCGAGCAACTGGTGAGCGCCAGAGTTACACCCTTGGGTGGAAACGGACCTGCACTTGTGAGTGAAAATAACACCCCGAACTCACTAGTCAGGCCGAAGAAGCGAGCCAGGTGTCCCAACCCAACCCCAACGACTCAGCCTCCAGCAGTATCAACTCCATTCTCCCTCCCTCCTATAAGTAAAAACAGTGACTGCAGTGCGCCTGCCTCGACTTCTGTACTGTGTGCTGCACCTAGTAGTCTGTTCACTACACTCGAGACTGTAAGCTACAGTCAACCAGCCATAGTGAACAACCCGGCAACGTACGCATCGGTTGCTGCCAAGCAAACACCGGAAAGAGCACCGGTAACCTTTGTGCCCGAACTAGAGAAAACAAAACTGACGCAGCACGGATGGCACACACCAAGGCCGTTCACAAATTCAACAAAATCACCAGAAACTAAGCCTCGAAATCCAAAACCAGTAGCCACCAGGCGCAACCATGGTGTCCTAAATATTGTATGCACTAATGTCCCAGAACCCAAATCCAATACAATTAAGGGTAAGTTGACGGACGATCGAAATCAGTGGGTTTCCATCTGTACGTCGATCGGAGTCCATGCTAATCCCACGACATTAAAAAGAATCTCGCGCCACCCAAACGCGTTGCACTACGGCGAACCCCGGTTACTTCGAGTAACACTAAACTCGGCGGACGAGACTGAGGCCGTTCTGCTGTCCGCGAATCGTCTGTGCAACGACTCAAGTGGAGTGCGCATACTACCCGAAATCCCGTGGAAAGGACGTTCAGGGGATCCCGCCAACAAAGATAGGTACAGAATAAGTCAAGATAAGAAAACAGTGATTGCTCATGGTGTTCCTGAGCTTACTGACTCCTCTTCCGACGATGCTCAGATGCATGACCGCGAGCAATGGCACTATATCCGGGAGGTTCTTTCTCTCGAAAATGTGGTGGTCACCTCGTTGACAAGGATCCCCATATCACCAAACTATAAAGGATGCGGTCCCAGGCTCTTACAACTTGTGTTACAGTCGGAACAAATGGCACAAACCCTACTAGCGAACTGGATCAAATTCCGTTGCAGATTGCCAACGGAAATTCGTCTGAAAGCAGCAAGAACACCAACACCTTTTAATGACAATTCAGTAGAGGCACAACTCTTAATGAAAACGCCAGCTGCAGGACCCGACTCGGGGACGGTTTCAAGAGTAGCCATACTATCCGGAGGGGCCCAGCAGAGCACGAGCAAACACCAGGATTCGGAGCATCTGATACCTGCTTATATATCAAATACTTCTCGAGAGTATGCAACCCATCCAAAAAACGATTAGTCGCCGACCCTTTAATGGTCGGCGTAACCTCATTTGCTTCATCCACCCCTCCAGTCGCCGGCCACTCACTGGTCGGCGAAACTTCACGTATGAGTTGTACAACTTCTGAAACATTGATTAAATCTGAGAAACTTTCATGTATGTACACCAACGCCCAAGGGCTTCTCAGTAAAATTAACGAACTTCGACTGCGTCAGGTTGCGAATGCTTGGGACCTAATTTCTATTACCGAAACTTGGTTGCATCAAGAGGTGACTGATGCTGAGGTTGAGATAGCCGGAATGTCAATCCTCCGGAACGACCGCCCCAGCAGAGGAGGTGGGGTCCTACTCTACTACCGCAGCGGTCTACAATGTACAATGGTTGAGGACCTGGAAACACACGTTACCGACTCACTCTGGTGCCGTCTCCGACTGAGACACAACGATACATGTCTCATAGCTATCGTTTACCGTCCCCCAACGTCCACACTGGAAATGGATTCCTGCTTGATCCATGGCCTAAACAGAGTAACACGCACTAGGTATAGCCACACTCTCATCTCCGGGGCCTTCAATCTACACAATCTGGAGGTTTCGGCATCGCCCAGTGAGCAGTTCAAAGCAGACTTGCAGGAACTGATCGCTAATATCCCTTTGTACAATCATGTCACCAGGCCCACTAGATTCAGGACAGCAAACAAACCGTCCATATTGGACCTTGTGCTCACAAATGAAGAGCTCATGATTGAGAAGTTATTGATGGATAGTCCATTAGGTCTCAGTGACCACGTAGTAATAACTTTTGACTATGTGTGTTATGCAGAGTATCCATATGAACACTCGGAACTAACTCATACAATCCCACGCTACCACGTATTGAAAGAACTCGCCGACTCAGCTGCTTGGGAATTCTCAAACAAAAGTCCCCTTGACAACATTTGGGCAGAGTTCGTTAATAAGCTCAGCGACATCGTCAACAAAGCATCAGAGACCAAACCCCTTCGTCCCGCGAAAATGCCTTCAATTATAAGGAATAGGACTCGCAAATGCCTGGCGATAAGGGATGCAGCATGGCGAGCCTACAAGATTAACCCAGACTCAGAGACTTGGGGAAATTTCCTGACCCATCGCAACCATTGCACCGCACTTGTCCGTGAGGACAAAATAACGTATCAACAGTGCCTAGCCAAAAAGTTCATGGCAAACAACAAACTGCTGTATAAGCATGTCAATAACCTTCGTAAAGTGAAGCATGGAATACCCCCACTATTCACGACAGGCGGTAGAGTACAAAGCGCCGAAGAAGCAGCTAATGCACTGCGGCTGCAATACGCCCCAATTTTTGGATTCGCAACATCTACCTGTCCCATAATATCAAGCTCATTACCGACACCTTTGTTTACAAATGTTATTTTCAACCCATCAATTGTGCTAAGGAAGTTACTCTCACTGCGCGAACATAGTTCTCCGGGAGCAGACAACATCCGCCCGAAGGCACTGAAGGCTGTGGCTAATAAGCTAGCTGAACCACTGTCACAGTTCTTTCAAAGGTGCTTTGATGAACAACGAGTCCCCACTATGTGGAAGTGTGGCATTATAACCCCTATTTTTAAAGGCGGTAACCGTTCCGATCCTGCAAACTATCGTCCAGTGACTCTCCTCCCTGTGCTCGCGAAGGTGATGGAAGCAGTCGTCGCTGAGGCTTTAATGGACTACCTGGAAAAATGCAACATGTTGGTACCGGAACAGCATGGCTTCCGTCAACACCGGTCATGCACTACCAATCTATTTATTGCACGAGGTAGTTGGACGGAAGTAGCCGATGATGGGGGCGGAGTCGACGTCATCTATCTGGACTTTTCCAAAGCTTTCGACCGCCTTGATCACCGCATCCTACTTCAACGGCTTCAGAGTTACGGAATCGGAGATCCTGTACTTGGTTGGATTGGCAACTTCCTTTACCAACGAAAGCTCCAAGTACGTGTTAGGGGATCACTTTCTAACCCAATTGAGGTGGAATGTGGTGTCCCGCAAGGCTCAGTGCTGGGACCGCGCTTATTCCTGGTGTTTATCAACGACCTGGCAAGAGTCATCTCCTCAAACTTCCTGCTTTTCGCCGATGACGTCAAGATATGGCGGGCGATTAGTAACAAGGCAGATCAGGATCTGCTCCAACATGACCTAGATTGCATTTACGAATGGTCAAAGAGTAACAAGCTTCAATTGAACATGGCTAAGTGCAAAGTGATGCATCTGCGTCACCAGCTGGTGAGCGCCTACAAGATTGGAGACCACACCTTGGCAAAGGTTTCTCATGAGCGGGACCTGGGTGTATTGGTACAGGAAGATCTCGGGTGTTCCAAACAAGCAGAGAAGGCGACGAGAACCGGAAATCAACACTTCGGCCTTCTTCGCAGAGCCTTCGGTCTGTTTGAACCATCAATATTTCCCCAAATGCTTAACGCCTACGTGCGACCTCACGTGGAATATGCTATTCAGGCGTGGCAGCCGTGGCAGAAACATGATCTCATTGCTCTCGAGACTCCTCAACGACGGGCAACCAAGAACGTCAGGGGCCTCTTTCATCTGCCCTATCAGCTTAGACTGAAATCTCTAAGAATGTACAGCAGTCGATATCGGCTTTTGCGGGGGGATCTCATAATGGTTTACCAGATTCTGAAGAACCCAAACCACATTTGCCGTCCGCTGCTGGAACTGAACCCCAACACTAAACTAAGAGGTCACCCTCTGAAACTGACAATTCATTACAGCCGGCTTGAATGCCGTAGAAATTTCTTTTCTCTCCGCGTGTGTGAGCCTTGGAATGCCCTCCCTAATTATGTCGTCTCTGCTCCCAATCTGGCGATATTTAAACAACGTGTTGACGATGCGTTGTCTCACTTACATTTCCTGTTATGACTTGTTAGCCAGGGGCTACAAAACGCAATCAAACGGTTTCTTGCCAAGCGCTCAACCATTGGATTTATGGATTTTTATGTTTAATACGCGAACATCTCCGCTATTTCACATAAGTCTATGGTGAGTCCACCACAACGCTTTTCACTTTATTATGCAATTTATTTTCGCAATAATTTCCATCCCACGGGACTTGTTAAGCGATGCTTTTTTACCCGTAATAAACCATTGTCCATTGTCCATTGTCCCCAAGTG